ACAACACAAACACACACACAAACATACATACATACATATGTTGTGTATATATATACACATACACATACACACACACGCACACAAACATACATACATATATATGTTGTATATATACACACATACACACACACGCACACACAAACATCTCCCCCAATCCAGCTCTCGCGTCCGGCCCCACGAAACCCACCTGGTATGTCTGTCTAACGGCGTCGACCTCCGAGGCAGTGTCATAGGCTGTCCTCTTGACAACTGCGTCCGTCTCTCTTGACACTTCCATTGTTGCGGCCGCTATGCAGTCTGCCAGTCCTCGAAGATTATCCAAAGACCTACGGGGATATTCAAAACGCGAGATCTAATTTCGACAAAATAATGAGGGAAGGAGTTTGTTATGTGTTGTGTTAGTTTGTGTGTTAGTTTTTCTCTCTTTTGCTTTTGTGTGTGTGTGTCCGTGTATTTATGTGTTTATGTGTTTGTCTCCCCGTCTAATTACCTATCTATCTGTCTCTTTATCTATGTATGTGTGTTTCGTGTGTGTATCTAACTATCTGTGTGTGTGTATGTATTCGTATACGCATAAATATATACATATATGTATATACATTGTCATGACCCAGCCAACAATTCCTTCACATAGTTTTCCCCCGATCGCAGCCAAGCACCTAACACTCTCTCCCCCCCCCTCTCCCTCTCCCTCCTCCTCCCCCTCTCCCTCTCCCTCCCCCTCTCCCTCACCCTCTCCCTCCTCCTCCCCCCTCTCCCTCTCCCTCTCCTTCCTCCTCCCCCTCTCCCTCCCCCCCTCTTCCCCCTCTCCCTCTCCCTCCCCCCCCTCTTCCCCCTCTCCCTCTCCCTCTCCCTCCCCCTCCCCCTCCCTCTCCACCCTCTCCCTCTCCCCACCACCCTCTCCCTCTCCCTCCCCCTCTCCCTCTCCCACCTCCTCTCCCTCCCCCTCTCCCTCTCCCTCTCCCTCTCCCTCCTCCTCCCCCTCTCCCTCCCTCTCCCCCTCTCCCTCCTCTCCCACCTCATTCACAAGCCTCACCTGTTTGTGTATATGGAGCGACTAGTGAGTTGACCTCGGCTATTCCATGCTAGCCCCACGGAGTCGACGGCGCGTAGCATTGCCCGGGCTATTTGAACCCCGAGGCTACCGTATAACATAGCCCTTGGTGATAGGAAGAGGGAATAGAATACTTTGTAGAGATTATTAATTGGATAATAAAAGTGATATGTTCTTATAAGTTAATTGGTATTTTGAGTATAACGGTCTATATTCTGAATAATTACAATAAATACATAAATTGATACATAAACAAGTTCATTATCAAGCAGTTAAATAACAAAATAATACGATATATTTGAGGAAATAAATGAATAACGAAAAATAGACAAGTAAATAACAAAGACACAATTCACTGAATAATAAAAAAAACAAAATAGATAACAATGTACAAATAGATTAATCCCTGAATAATCAAATAAATAGCAATGAACAAAGAGAAATCACTGGATGATAAATTGATGATAAAATAAATAATAATAAATAACAAAACACTTAATAATAAATAACAAACTCAATGACAATAAAAAGATAATTCCTAGAACAATCAAACAAATAACATTAAACAAATCGACAAATCACTGAATAACAAATAACAAAATAAATAACAATGACAAAACAAATAAATCCCTGAACAATCATACAAATAACAATTAAACAAAACAGACAAAATCCCTAAATAACAAACCATACAACAAAAATATAAAGACAAAAAAAAGGACAAATCCCTGAAAAAACAAACCATACAACAAAAATACAAAAAAGAAAACAACAACAACAAATCCCTGAAAAAAAAAAAAAATCAAATAAACACCGCAAACTAACATGGGATAATTGCGGTGGAAAAGCGGCGGGTTTAGCAGGTGCGGCGGAATCACGATTTTGTTCGCCTCGTGAATGTACGACACCGACTCCTCCGAAAGCGCGTCCATCCACTTCGACTCTGGCATCGGCTCGATCAGTTTCATCTCCAGCTGGCGTTGGGCGTTTCGGATGGAGTCCTGAGAAGGAGGAGGAAGGAGGGAGTGTGTTCTGTTTAGATGTGGTGGATGGTATTGATTTATTTTGTATCTGTATTATCTATCTATCTATCTATCTATCTATCTATCTACCTATCTATCTATCTATCTCTCTCTATATATTTTATCTTTTCATTATTAATTTTATCATTTTTAGTATATATATATATTTTTTTCTCTGGGATGTAAAGGATTGTTATTTTTTATTTATTTATTTATTTATTTTGTTGTTGTTGTAAGTTACCCATGGCCTAAAAATCAGTCAATGACTTTTCGTTAAATCCACTTTAAATGTATATAATCATCACCTTCGCAAACCCACATAGAAAATGCTTACAATAGGAAACTCGTTTTCCATTAACAAATTGTGGCAGACATGTGTATTTTTATAGAAGGCTTTTATGTTTCATAGCTCAGTCTCTTTCTGTGTGTTTCTTAGTGTTCTGTCTCTCTGTTTACCATTGTCTCTAATTCTGTCTGCCTCTGTCTTAGTCCCTGTCTGTCTCTACATTCTCTCTCTCTCGATAATAATCATGATTGTTGATATTACCACTGCAATAAGGATAATAATAATGATAATGATAATTATCATTATTATCATCATCATCATTATTATTATTATTAATATCATTATTATTATCATTATCATTATTATTACTATTATTATTATCTTTCTCCTCCTCCTCCTCCTCCTCCTCATCATCATCATCATCATCATCAATCAACCTCATCATTATTATCATTAACATTATTATTATTCTCGTCAACATTATCCTTATCATCAACGTTACTATTATCATTTCATTATCATTGTTATCATTAGCATTATTACCATTATTATTATCATTACTATATACATAATAAGAACAATAATGATAATAAAAATGATAATGATAATAATTATAATAATAATCATAATAAAGACAATAACAGTAATAACAATAATAATGCTAATGATTATAATAATACCAATAATAGCAGCAATGAAAAACAACAACAACAACAACAACAACAATAATGATAACAATATCATTATTTGTTATTATCATTATTATTATCATTATTATTATTATTATTATTATTATTATTATTGTTAATATCATCAGTATTATCATCGTGATTATTATCATCAATAATATCATGATCTGTATAATGATAATGATACTGTTATCACTATAATTATTTTTACGATTATCATCATCATTATTTCTTATCATCATCATTATTACCATCATTATTTTTTATCGTTTTATCTCATCATCATAATCATCATCACTGTTACCTGCCTTCTCTTTCACTTTTACATATATACATAATTTTTTTCCTAACATAATTCTATAATTACAACATAACTTAAATAACACTGTCTCCATAACGAACAAAAACAAAGTAACAAACAAACAACAACAATAACAAAAATATCTTCAACAAAAAAACAATACCAAGAATTTCTCTTTTCAAACCCTAAAGCCCTAATTAATAACTTTCACATCCATTCGAAATAAATAAAATCTGAGAAAGAAAAAAATACTTACTTTGCTGCTATTTCGTATTACTTGAGTCCTACCTGCAAGTTTTGGAAGAAATCCTTAATGAAAATGGTGTAGTCTTCATAATAGGCGTTAATAACACCGAGGTCCAGCAGACGGTTAGGGTAACCCACTGCTAACGTCATGTTATTGAGCTGGAAAAGAAGTGTTATGATTATTGATATTATTATTATTATCATTGCGATTACTGATATTATTATTTTTATCATTGTGATTAATGATGTCATTATTGGTATTATTATTATTAATATTTTTATTGTGATCATTATTATCATCATTATTGTTATCATTACCACTATTACTATTATTATTATGATTGATATTATCATTGTTATTAACATGTCATTATTATCATCATTACTAATGTTATTATTATTATTATTGTTTGCGTTATTATCAATACATACATACATACATACACACACACACACACACACACACACACACACACACACACACACACACACACACACACACACACATATATATATATATATATATATATATATATATATATATATATGTATATGTATATAGACACACACACACACACACACACACACACACACACACACACACACACACACACACACACACACACACACACACACACACACACACACACACACACACACACACACACACACACACACACATTATTTCAATATTAACATTGAGACGCCTTACCTTTGATGTCAGTTGAGCCTTTACTTCCAGCGGGTACCATCGGCTGTTTGCTAAATTATTTGCGAAAGTGTAGCGAATTTGATTGAAGATCTTGTGCAGCTGGAAACAATGAGTCAATATCAGTAGTTTAGTGATGATCGTTGATGTTAAAAGGAAAAACATATATAGGTTGCATTTCGAATTTTTTGTTAGTCTATGCGTTATAGGGTATACTATACATATTAGTATGTTTATACACGGATATATACATACATTGAGTTAAACCCACGTGTTCACACACAAACACCCTCCTCTCCCCCCTCTCTTTCCCCTCCTCTCCCCCCCACCCCCACCCCACATTTATACACACGAACCCTCCCCCCTCTCCTTCCCCCACCACCCTTTCCCCTACCCCCCCCTCTACCCCCACCTCTACCCCCACCTCTACCCCCAACCAAGGGCGAGCGTGACGTCGATGACCCGTTTTGGTGAGTGAGATTCGATAAGAACATGTTACGCTCCTTGGAGAAAGGGGGGGAGGGGGGGGAGGGAAGGAAAGTGAGAAGGAAGGAAGAGAGGGAAGGAAGGAAAGGGGGATGGAGGGAAGGAAAGTGAGAAGGGAAGGAGTGAGAGAAGGAAGGAAGAGAGGGAAGGAAGGAAGAAGGAGGGAAGGAAGGAAGAGAGGGAAGAAGGAGGGAAGGAAGGAAAGGGGGATGGAGGGAAGGAAAGAGAGAAGGAAGGAAAAGAGGGAAGAAGGAGGGAAAGCGAGGAAGTTACTCGTGCTGTGAGCCTCCGGGAAGGAGAGAGTGTCAGGTTCCAATCAAGGTTGACTAACGAGTGTGCTTGTTCCAAATGTTGCAAAATATGTTAAGATGGAGAGATGGATATAGAGAGGAAGACAATCAAATGGGCAGATAGACAGGTATATGGATAGATATATAGATAGATAGACTGGAAGAGAGAGAGAGAGAGAGAGAGAGGAGAGGAGAGAAGAAGGGAAAGAAGGAGGGGAGAATGGAGGGAAGGAAAGTGAGAAGGGAAGGAGTGAGAGAAGGAAGGAAGAGAGGGAAGAAGGAAGGAAAGCGAGGAAGTTACTCGTGCTGTGAGCCTCCGGGAAGGAGAGAGTGTCAGGTTCCAATCAAGGTTGACTAACGAGTGTGCTTGTTCCAAATGTTGCAAAATATGTTAAGATGGAGAGATGGATATAGAGAGGAAGACAATCAAATGGGCAGATAGACAGGTATATGGATAGATATATAGATAGATAGACTGGAAGAGAGAGAGAGAGAGGAGAGGAGAGAAGAAGGGAAAGAAGGAGGGGAGAATGGAGGGAAGGAAAGTGAGAAGGGAAGGAGTGAGAGAAGGAAGGAAGAGAGGGAAGGAAGGAAAGGGGGATGGAGGGAAGGAAAGTGAGAAGGGAAGGAGTGAGAGAAGGAAGGAAGAGAGGGAAGGAAGGAAAGGGGGATGGAGGGAAGGAAAGAGAGAAGGAAGGAAGAGAGGGAAGGAAGGAAAGGGGGATGGAGGGAAGGAAAGTGAGAAGGGAAGGAGTGAGAGAAGGAAGGAAGAGAGGGAAGGAAGGAAGAGAGGGAAGAAGGAAGGAAAGCGAGGAAGTTACTCGTGCTGTGAGCCTCCGGGAAGGAGAGAGTGTCAGGTTCCAATCAAGGTTGACTAACGAGTGTGCTTGTTCCAAATGTTGCAAAATATGTTAAGATGGAGAGATGGATATAGAGAGGAAGACAATCAAATGGGCAGATAGACAGGTATATGGATAGATATATAGATAGATAGACTGGAAGAGAGAGAGAGAGAGAGGAGAGGAGAGAAGAAGGGAAAGAAGGAGGGGAGAATGGAGGGAAGGAAAGTGAGAAGGGAAGGAGTGAGAGAAGGAAGGAAGAGAGGGAAGGAAGGAGGGAAGGAAGGAAAGGGGGGTGGAGGGAAGGAAAGAGAGAAGGAAGGAAGAGAGGGAAGAAGGAAGGAAAGCGAGGAAGTTACTCGTGCTGTGAGCCTCCGGGAAGGAGAGAGTGTCAGGTTCCAATCAAGGTTGACTAACGAGTGTGCTTGTTCCAAATGTTGCAAAATATGTTAAGATGGAGAGATGGATATAGAGAGGAAGACAATCAAATGGGCAGATAGACAGGTATATGGATAGATATATAGATAGATAGACTGGAAGAGAGAGAGAGAGAGGAGAGGAGAGAAGAAGGGAAAGAAGGAGGGGAGAATGGAGGGAAGGAAAGTGAGAAGGGAAGGAGTGAGAGAAGGAAGGAAGAGAGGGAAGGAAGGAAAGGGGGATGGAGGGAAGGAAAGTGAGAAGGGAAGGAGTGAGAGAAGGAAGGAAGAGAGGGAAGGAAGGAAAGGGGGATGGAGGGAAGGAAAGTGAGAAGGGAAGGAGTGAGAGAAGGAAGGAAGAGAGGGAAGGAAGGAAGAGAGGGAAGAAGGAGGGAAGGAAGGAAGAGAGGGAAGGAAGGAAAGGGGGATGGAGGGAAGGAAAGTGAGAAGGGAAGGAGTGAGAGAAGGAAGGAAGAGAGGGAAGAAGGAAGGAAAGCGAGGAAGTTACTCGTGCTGTGAGCCTCCGGGAAGGAGAGAGTGTCAGGTTCCAATCAAGGTTGACTAACGAGTGTGCTTGTTCCAAATGTTGCAAAATATGTTAAGATGGAGAGATGGATATAGAGAGGAAGACAATCAAATGGGCAGATAGACAGGTATATGGATAGATATATAGATAGATAGACTGGAAGAGAGAGAGAGAGAGGAGAGGAAGAAGGAAGGAAAGCGAGGAAGTTACTCGTGCTGTGAGCCTCCGGGAAGGAGAGAGTGTCAGGTTCCAATCAAGGTTGACTAACGAGTGTGCTTGTTCCAAATGTTGCAAAATATGTTAAGATGGAGAGATGGATATAGAGAGGAAGACAATCAAATGGGCAGATAGACAGGTATATGGATAGATATATAGATAGATAGACTGGAAGAGAGAGAGAGAGAGAGAGGAGAGAGAGAGAGAGAGAGGAGAGGAGAGAAGAAGGGAAAGAAGGAGGGGAGAATGGAGGGAAGGAAAGTGAGAAGGGAAGGAGTGAGAGAAGGAAGGAAGAGAGGGAAGAAGGAGGGAAGGAAGGAAGAGAGGGAAGGAAGGAAGAGAGGGAAGGAAGGAAAGGGGGATGGAGGGAAGGAAAGTGAGAAGGGAAGGAGTGAGAGAAGGAAGGAAGAGAGGGAAGAAGGAGGGAAGGAAGGAAGAGAGGGAAGAAGGAAGGAAAGCGAGGAAGTTACTCGTGCTGTGAGCCTCCGGGAAGGAGAGAGTGTCAGGTTCCAATCAAGGTTGACTAACGAGTGTGCTTGTTCCAAATGTTGCAAAATATGTTAAGATGGAGAGATGGATATAGAGAGGAAGACAATCAAATGGGCAGATAGACAGGTATATGGATAGATATATAGATAGATAGACTGGAAGAGAGAGAGAGAGAGGAGAGAGAGAGAGAGGAGAGAGAGAGAGAGAAGAGAGAGAGAGAGAGAGAGGAGAGAGAGAGAGAGGAGAGAGAGAGAGAGGAGAGAGAGAGAGAGGAGAGAGAGAGAGAGGAGAGAGAGAGAGAGAGGAGAGAGAGAGAGAGAGGAGAGAGAGAGAGAGGAGAGAGAGAGAGAGAGAGAGAGAGAAGAGAGAGAGAGAGAGGAGAGAGAGAGAGAGAGAGAGAGGAGAGAGAGAGAGAGAAGAGAGAGAGAGAGAGAGAGGAGAGGAGAGAAGGAGAGAAGAGAGGGGAGGAAGGAAAGGAGGCTGGTGGGAAGGGAGGAAAGAAGAAAGGGAGGAGAGAAGGAAAGGAGGAGAAACGGAAGAGAGGAGAGGAGAGAAGAAGGGAAAGAAGGAGGGGAGAATGGAGGGAAGGGAAGAGCGAGAGGGAAGGGAAGAGAAGAGGAAGGGAAGAATGAGGAGAGGGAGTGAAGAACCGAAGGAAAGAAGGAGAGAAAGAAGAAGAAGATAAGAAAGAAGCTGGGAATTAAGAGATGAAGCAAATGAGGAAGCAAGGAGAGAATGAAAACAAGAAGGAAAGGCGAAAGGAAGGAGAGTAAGAAGGACTGGAAGAAGGGAGAGGAAGAGGAAGAAGACGAGGAAGGAAGAAGGAAGGAAAGCGAGGAAGTTACTCGTGCTGTGAGCCTCCGGGAAGGAGAGAGTGTCAGGTTCCAATCAAGGTTGACTAACGAGTGTGCTTGTTGCAAATGTTGCAAAATATGTTAAGATGGAGAGATGGATATAGAGAGGAAGACAATCAAATGGGCAGATAGACAGGTATATGGATAGATATATAGATAGATAGACTGGAAGAGAGAGAGAGAGAAAGTAATAATGAGAGAGAGAGAGAGAGAGAGAGAGAGAGAGAGAGAGAGAGAGAGAGAGAGAGAGAGAGAGAGAGAGAGAGAATTGATGCCAATATGTATACACATTGTCAAGTACGTACACACGTGTTACAAATCTGACGTCATATAAACAGGTAACAAGCATATTGAAGTGGATAATAGATAAACATAAGTAATATATGAGTAAGTAAAAGAAATGCATCTGGGAAATCAAGAAGGCAATAAATAAATAGATAATGCTGTGTACATATACTGCAATGAGACAATTTAAATGAATTAATCAGATACTCGTTCTTCTATGTATAATAAAAAATATATATTTTCCTTTGTGAGCTATAGTGATATAATCAAAAGCACTTAATCACATTTACATCCGGGCTCCAGAAACTAGTAATGTAAATATATAAAACAGATAAGATAAATAATTGAAAAAAAAAATATTCAGAATGAGCGTTCATTGTAACAGATGCAGAAAAAGGTATAAATAAAAACGAATTTTTGATGAACCGGTCAAGTTCATTCTCATTCATACCTTTTTTATAACTTAATCAGGAGTAAAACAAGAGAGAGAGCGAGAGAGATAGAGAGATAGAGATAGAGAGAGAGAGATAGATGGATAGATGGATAGATAGAACAAAGATAAGTAGATAGAAAAAAAGATAGATAGATAGATAAATAGATGGATAGATAGATAGAGAGAGAGAGAGACAGAGAGACGGAGACAGAGAGAGAAAGAGGAGCGAAATAAATTGAAAGTAATAGCAATATAGAGAGAAAAGGAAAGCTAAACAACAGAATAACACGAAACAAACTTACCGGGTTGTTGGGCATACGGTCGTAATAACTACGGTGAGGCAATGAGAATCCCGACGGTAAGAGCTGCAAAGAGAGAACGCGGGGTTATTATAGTGCTATAAAGGGGAGGAGGGGATAGGGAAGGGAAGGGGAGGGTAGGGGAAGGGAGGAGAGGGATGGGGAGTGGATGGGAGATAAGGGAAGGGGCGCGGAGGGGGGGAGAAGGGGAGAGGGAAGGGAAGGGGCGGGGAGGAGGGGATGAGAGGGAAGGGAAAGGAATGGGAGGGGAGGAGAGGGAAGGGAAGGGGAGGGACGGGGAGGAGGGGAGGGGTGGAGAGGGACGGAAAGGGGAGGGGATGAGGGGAGAGGGAAGGGAAGGGGTGGGGAGGAGGGGGAGGGAAGGGAGGAGAGAGAAGGGGATGGGAGGAGAGGAAATGGAAGGGAAGGGAAGAGGGGAGGTGAGGAGAGGTAAGGGAAGTAGAGAGGGGAGAGTAAAACAGTGAGGAGAAAAGAGGAGAAAAAGAGAGAGGAGAGGGGGTGGGGGAGACGGTGGAATGAATGAGGGAGATAAAGAAGGGTGGGGAGGGAGGAGGGAAATGAAGAAGGGTGGGGGAGGGAGGGAAACGAAGAAGGGTGAGGGGGGAGGAAAAAGGATGCGAGAGGGGAGGGCAGGTGTGGGTGGGGGGGCGGAGACGGGGCTATAAATAATGCAGTAGATCCACTATAATTTATTTAGGTAATTAGTCCACATTATTAATCACATGCCAATATATGATACATAGTCTGCTTAAGGTATGACAGGTTTGTCTCTATCGCTCTCTCTCTCTCTCTCTCTCTTTATTCTGGTTATTACTTCTTTTTCTTTATTTCTATTCGTCTGTTTCCCTGTTCGCGTTCTGTTTGTCAATTCCTTTCGCTTTTTTGTCTCTCTTTTTGTCTTTTTGTCTATCTGTTTGGATCTCTTCTCTGTCTGTTTGGCTGGCTGTCTGAATCTCTCTCTCTCTCTATCTGTCTATCTATCTATCTATCTATCTATCTATCTCCTCCCCTCCCCCTTTCTCTCCATCTCTGCCTCCTTTCTAACTCTCAAGCCTTCCCTCCCTAACCATCTCTCTCCCTCCCCCTCCCTCCCTTCTTCTCTTTCCCTCCCTCCCTCCTCCTCCCTCTCCCCCCTCCATCCACCTCCCTCCCTCTCATTCCCCTCTCCCTCCCCCTCTCCTTTTCCTCCACCTCTCCCTCCCTCCCCCTCCCTCTCCCCCCTCTATCCACCTCCCTCCCTCCCATTCCCCTCTCCCTTCCCCTCTCCTTTTCCTCCACCTCTCCCTCCATCCCCCTCCCTCCCCCCCCCTCCATCCACCTCCCTCCCTCTCATTCCCCTCTCCTTTTCCTCCACCTCTCTCTCTCTCCTTCCCCCTCCCACCCCCCGTCCCCCTCCCCCCCCCCTTCAAAACAGCGGCCGGACAACAAGCAAATCCGAACGAACGCAAGAGACAACAATTCCCATAGATCATCGTCACATTTCCGGAAATAATTAAATGAACGAGAATGCTTCTGCTCACAGTGATTAATTGTCGAAGGGAATTATCATTACTGCGTATTATATCATCTCTTGATTGCCTTGGTGGAAGTGGTGAGGATAATGATAAAAATTAGCTGCGAGAGGAAGGAAGAGAGGGAGGGGGGGTTGGGAGAGAGAGAGAGAGAGAGAGAGAGAGGAAAAGGGAGAGAGAGAGAGAGGAAGGAAGAGAGAGAAAAAGAGAGAGGGAGAGAGAGAGAGAGAGAAAGAAAGAAATAGAGAGAGAGAGAGAGAGAGAGAGAGAGAGAGAGAGAGAGAGAGAGAGAGAGAGAGAGAGGAGAGAGAGAGAGAGAGAGAGAGAAAGAAATAGAGAGAGAGAGAGAGAGAGAAAGAAAGAAATATATATATATATATATATATAGAGAGAGAGAGAGAGTAATACTTATCATCATTTAACCATTTGTTTCATAACAATTACTAAACAAATATATCGAATGCCATTTCCCCCCTTAACTTACAACTGGTATCCACATATTCGTTCAATTTACAAATACGTAATCACTCAGATATATAACAAGCGCACAGAATACCAAATAAGTCTTCAAAGAATATTGTTCTCCACAAAAGATATAAGGAAATGAATAATCGCTTCCGAAGAAAACAAAAACGCATCGCTCGGAGAGACACGATCCTCCTCCGAGAGACGAGAGAAGAGAATCCAATCCCATTCAAAGAACTATCGGATACCACTATCCAATCTGCGGCCTTTTATTGTCACGGCGTCGCTAATCAGGCCACTTTCTGCGGATAATTAACACGGGTAATTAGCGTGAATCATTAACATGGGTAATTTACGTGCGTTATAGCTACCGAAGTGAAAATAAAACAAAACTTTTGGTGAACGGGGGAGGAGAGAGCGGGGAGAAAAGGGTGAGATAGAGATGGAGGAAAAAGAAGGGGGAAGAGGGGGAGATGGAGGAGGAGGAGGAGGAGGAGGAAGAAGAAGAAGAAAAAGAGGGGAGATGAGGAGGAAGGAGGAGGAGGAAGGAGGAGGAGGAGGAAGAAGAAGAAGGAGAAGGAGGAGGAAGAAGAAGAGGAGGTGGCGGAGGAAGAGGAATAAGAGGAAGGGGCGGAGAAGGAGGAGGACTAAGAAGTAGGAAGAGGAGGAGGGGGAAGAGGAAGAAGAGGAAGAGGAAGAGGAAGCAGAGGGGACAAGGAGGAAGAAGAAGAGGAAGAAGAAGAAGGAACAGGAGATGGAAGAAGCGGAGGAAGAAGAAGAAGAAGAGGGAGGAGAAGGAGGAGGAGGAGGCGAAGGAAAGAAGGAGTAGGAGGCGGCAAGGTGGAGGATTACTATAAGAAAAGGAGATAGAAGGATAAAACTGTAGACTAATAAAAAAAACGGGTATGAAAGAAGAGGAAAGAAACACAAAAGAAAAGGAAATAAAAGAGAAGACAGACTAAACTGATAACATAAACATGGAGATATAGAAAGAACAGATGAAAACAATAAATAAAAACAAACAGAAAAAAATACAAAACAGATAAGTCAAAAAAGACATAAA